AAGATGCTTGGACAGATACTGGTTACCAAACAAACTGGCCCTCAGGGAAAAGTTGTCAGCAAGGTTTGACATTATTCAGTGATTTTATCTTCAAATATGCTAGCTCTTTTACCATGCATTCATGTGGCTACTATATTTGTCTGGTGAAGCAAGGCTTTGACCCTTGCCTTTAATTGTATTGGTAACATTTACTTGAATAGTTGTGCTTCGATTTTCAATGGCAAGTTAAGCTATGTTTTCTGAACTTGCAATAGATCTTACTTGTTATGCGTCACTGTAACATTTGTAAGTTTGTACTTGAACTTGCTAGATGGAGGATAACATGGTGCTTGCGACTTTTAAATGATACTTCATAGGATATATCTCAATGTGCTACGTTGTGTTAAGTTATTTCAATGATGACGAAGGGGTTATTGCTTCAGGAAGAGTTCACTGTTTGACATGTAATTCTCTAATTTACACAGGTTTACTTGTGTGAAAAGCTTTCACTCGTGAACGAGATGTACTTTGCTATAACTTTAGATCGCAAGACTGCTGGTCCAGTAAGTTCCCTCTCCTATATCAATAGTAGATTATTAATCTTAATGTATATGCGATGCTACCCTTTATCTCTCCAATCAAGAGGATGGTAATTTGATTTCTTATATTTGTTTTTCTATTTCAGCTGATAATTTCTTGTAGAAAGGGAGGAACCAGTATTGAAGACCTGGCAGAAAAATTCCCTGACATGATTGTAAAGGTTTGTTATGAATGTCATTTCTCTTGTATTAATTTTCCTATTGAAGCAGTACAATTGCATTGCACAGTATTTAATGCGCTCATTCTTTCTTGTAGGTACCTGTTGATGTTTTTGAGGGACTTACTGATGAAGGTGCTGCAAAGGTTGTTGATGGTTTGGCTCCCAAAGTGGCAGATAGAAATAAATCAATTGAACAAGTGAAGAATTTATATAAACTGTTCTGTGAGTGTGATTGCACCCTTTTGGAAGTAAGCATATGCAAGTCTTAGCCAGGTGTACTTTCTAGGTGGTATTTAAATTAAAGAGCTAAAATGACAAGTCGGTCATTTTCAACAGATCAATCCCATAGCAGAGACTGCTGACAACGAATTGGTGGCTGCCGATGCCAAGTTGAACTTTGATGATAATGCTGCATACCGTCAGAAAGAGATATTTGCTCTTCGTGATACAACTCAAGAGGATCCTCGAGAGGTTTATTTACATTCCCTATAATTTCTGATAGTTTTTATATCTTTGTGTATGTTTGTGCTTATGATGCAGCTCTAGGGATGTGGCGGTTTTCGCATTATTGATTTATGCTTTATAATCAAGGCCATATATTCTACATTCCATCTTGCTTTCTTTCGTGGGGTATGCGTCATACCGTTTGCGTCTTTATCCTTGAACAGGTTGCTGCATCAAAGGCAGATTTAAACTATATTGGGTTAGATGGAGAAATTGGTTGCATGGTCAATGGAGCAGGTTTAGCAATGGCCACAATGGACATAATTAAGTTGCATGGGGGCACGCCTGCTAATTTTTTGGATGTTGGTGGGAATGCCTCTGAAAACCAGGTAATGTTTTATGGATAAAATTTTTTGGTTGCTCTCACTGTGGTTGCAGATTCACTCTACTATAGTATGGTTATAGATTCACTCTAATATAGTAATCAAGTTGGTTCACTCTTGGTTTGATAATCTATTGATGGTGCTCGGTGCTCGTTTCTTTTTCTTTTTATGAAGTTATTTGCTTATCAGCAGATACTTGCTTGACCTTTAGATAACTTCCATCTTATCCTTTTTATTCCTAACTATTGCCATGATGCAAGGCAGGTGGTTGAAGCATTTAAAATTTTGACAGCTGATGACAAGGTGAAGGCTATTTTGGTTAACATATTCGGTGGCATAATGAAGTGTGATGTCATAGCAAGTGGAATTGTCAATGCTGCTAAACAGGTTAATAAAGCTCTTCTTTTTAGCAATCAAATGTTTCCTGGCATCATCTTATGGTTGGGAATATAAGGATAGTGCTATCTGGAACTATCTGATTTTAAAAGGCTAACAAAGTCAAGAAAATGCGATTCCTGTTTATATCTGATCTCTTGTAACCTCATAGTTTCTTTCCTTCCTTCTTTCTTTCTTTCTTGTTTGTTGTTGTTGGGGCGGGGGGTGGTGCCGAATGTATATTCAAGAATACTGAATGTCGTCTGAGGTCTCTTTAATACGTCATTAAACTAGTTACTCGAGATTGATATGCCTGAATGTTTTTCTACTTCAGTGGAACTTCTTCTGTCTTATCGTGACCTTATATTGGCATTAACTTGGCTATTGTCTTAAAGGTTGCACTAAAAGTACCTGTAGTAGTTCGTCTTGAAGGCACCAATGTCGATGTAGGAAAAAGAATTCTGAAGGTAACTGCTATATGCATACACTCCCACATGCACATGCATACTATCTGATTATGAATATTTTTGATTTGGTAATGATGCTTAATTGGTTTAACAGGAAAGTGGCATGACATTAATAACGGCAGATGATTTGGATGATGCCGCTCAGAAAGCAGTTAAAGCAGCTTACAAATGAAAGGAACGCTTTTGTTCAATATTGATAAATTTGTTTCAATACCGCACATTTTTGTGTTAAACTGACTGGCTCGGTCATGATTCGTCCGAGGAAACAAATTACGGAGAAAGGCAATTGATGCAGGAGATTGTTGTTGAGCATTAGAAGTGGCCCTTTAACGAGGATTACTTCTTATAGTTGTTCCTTTGAGCTTATGCACAGGACAGGCGTCTTCCTCGCCTCATCAAGTGTTACACTGTCTGCACTCGGTTCATTTTGCATTCTCCTATCGCAACATTTTTCATAGAAATAATGGTCTTTCTATTAAACTTGTCCCGTTATCAAGGAGCTCAAGCCCTCAAGTGTTAGTTTTCTTTGTAATAATTAGTTTTCTTTGCTATCATTATTACAACGAAACAACTGAAACTGAAGGGGAAATTAACTATATATTTTCTGTCTTGGCCCAAAAAAAAAAAATCTGCTATTGTATTTGTGGACTCCTGCAAATTTAGGAACACGATTTGAAAATCCATAATCCACCGCTGTCGTGGGGCCGACGTGTCTATATAATCAGCACCTCAAGCTGATCTGATCACTGATTGCAGATTCCCCCCCCCCCCCGGTGAGAGGCAGCAACGGCACGATATGCCGGAATGGAACCGCATCCCGAAGCATGGTTGCCAATCGTCAATCTTGATCATTTATTTAGGTTGTATTTGGACCATTCAACTTTTGTTATAATTATCATTTGTTTTGAAAAAAATAAATTATTGACTAAAGTATATTTTTAGTCTTTTAAATTTGTATGAGGTTTTATTTTAGTCTTTTAATTTTAAAAAATAAATTTTTAGTCTTCTAACCCGAAAATCGTTAACAAAAAATGATGATATTGAGCTCTTAAATGTTGATAAATTATTATTAAGTGTTAATATATTAAGTTTAATTTTTCAAACAACCATGATTGTCAGAAAAAATTATCATTTAAGACTAACGATTTTAGAATTAGAAGACCAAAAGTATATTTTTTAAAGCTAAAAGGTCAAATTAAAACTTTACATTAAAAGACCAAATATATATCTTAGCTTAAATTATTTTAAAAATTACATCCATATGATGATATAATAATGATTTAAATTTATCACAGGGATGAGTTCCGGAAATCCGTTGGCACACAGCATTGCATGGACAAGAATGCAGTTGCAGAGCATCTATGCCCCTGATAATTGGGACCCGCTCGCTTTCTCCTCTTATAACTGCTTCAGTTTTCGCCCGGCCACCACTCGAATGCCGGCTTCCCTCGCGAAATATCTAAGGCTTTTAACAAGACTGCGCAAATATATATATATATATATATATATGTGTGTATATATATCTACATATATTTTTTCGCTAGCGACTGTATAAATATTATTCCTCTAATCCTAAACATAGTCTTATATTTAGAACCGAAAGAAGTAATTTGACTGCTTTACTTTGTTGTGGCTTTATGTCTAGGTAGTTCCAGTCAACACTATTCTCTCCGTTGGAGAGTTGTCTTGTAAAATTGACCTGTCAAAAATTCACTAAATTTAGCACCTTTAAGATTGACATCTTTTATCTCACCCATTTTCACAGCTAAAATTTCGAGAGATTCCCGGTTTTCATTTGATGGGCTAAATTGACAGACCAACTGTTGCCATTGAATCAAGGAAATGAAAAATGGGCATGCTTTAAACAGATTCTGTTTTCTAGCTTCATCCCTTTTCTCATCACTGCCACCTCCAGAACTGTCTTCGGTTTTTGAACCATTCATATCTTCTGCGTTTGCAAATGACAAGAGACATAGGGCAACGTATCCTCGTATCTTGAGAACCGAACAGAAAAACCCTGAAACACCCATGTTCCACCCACCCTGAGGCCTGAGGGTTTTCCCTGCAACATTTCTTCAACTTTACAACACATGGTTTCTTGAATGTTGCTTTCGGAGAGAACTTTTGTAATAGGTGGCATTGTGGGTAATGTCCTCGCCAACTCAATTTTGGCTCCAGAATTACTGAAGGGTATCTAAATCTAGGCACAGAATAATATATTGTGTTGAGAGGATCAATATGTCCACTCCTAAGGTGAAGGGCGTGTTCAAAGGCTTTAGATACCTTACTCAGATGTTTGGTAATAAACCTTTCCTTGCTATGATTAATTAGGGCAATTTTTAACAAGTTATTAAAGATATGCCCCCTTTTGCAGATAATGAAAAAGAACCAGAAATGCAAATTGGTCTTCCCACTGATGTAAAGCATGTGGCTCATATAGGATGGGATGGTCCCTCTGTGAATACTCCTAGTTGGGTAATCCTTTGTTTTTTCTTAATCATTTTTTCCCGTTAAGAAGACTTGTTTCCCTTGCATTATAAAACTACTGTTCTAAATTTCTCATCATGTGAGGCCTTACGTACAATAACTTCTTCAGATGAACGAGTTTAAATCTCCGTCCTCGTACTCATCTGCACCTTCGAGTCTCCGCGGGAGCATCCAGATGACAGAGCCCGGTAATGGAGTCAAATGGGTTCCAGAAGGTACATAATTGCCCCCAAAAAAAAATTGAAATACTATCATTTTCATGGTTATAAGGAAAGTATATATTTTAATTTGATAAAATCTATGAAACAGACATCATTTTTCAAGAATCAGACTAGAATTTTTTTGAGATGAAAATAACCGTCGAGCTGGTGTTTGTTTGATTGTTTGGAGATTAGATTCAGGTTAGCGAACTCTCAAGTGAGGAACCGGCCCGACCTGCCCAAGTCATCAAGACGACAGTTATCGGGCAGTGTCGCTCATTCTCCGACAAGGGAAAAGTCAGACAGACCAAGGCAGTCAAGGAAATCACCCAAACCCAGAGATCCATCTGATCCATCCAGACCCGCCAGGGTACCCGCACCCTTAGGTCAGAACCAAGGAAGCGAGTCTCCCGGCGGAAACCTACCCGACATTCCCAAGAAGTCGCGGCGCAAGAAGTCGAAGGAAATTTCTTCTAGCGGTGGCGCTGGTGGTGGCCCTTCCAAATCCAGATTGAAAGCCTCACATTTGGATCCGACTTCTGGTTTCGGGCCCACAGTCGGACCCGTCCCCCAAGTCTAACAAGGAACAGAGGCCCGTTGAAATAGATGGACGGGGCGAAAATGGATCGAGTGAGGAGTTCTTGAAAAAATTGGTGTAACTTCATATCCAGTAGTTAGAATGTTGCTTAGTTAAGACTTGAAAAGTAGAACTTCTCCATTATTTTTCAATACATCATTCTTTTTTATCCTTTCACTAATCTTTGCCCCCTTTCACAGAGCCTTGCTCCTTCCTGTCCACTTATTGGTACTATTATAATTTTGTTGTTTCTGTTAAAATGCCATCATTATAAATTATGACAAATAATGAAAAAGGTATGCATTAACTAAAATGTAACTTCGTTATGAACAAAAAGAAAACTTCCTAAATATTTCTCTACCGTCGCCATCACTTTCGCTTTCCTACTATGTGACATTGACTTGATTTCTCTCTAATCTCGCCAAAACTACTGAAAACAAACGCTCGCCCTGCTTTAACTAGACCAGAAGCCCCATGCTGCATGTGTACGAACAACTTCTATATTACAGTAAAGATAAAAATAATAACCAGAGACATGAACAACAATTGAAGATCAAAAAGCAGGGAAGAGATCCCATTGAAAAGGACAGCATTAGGAATATCTGGCTTGTTGCAGAGCTTTAGCTGCCCTAAACAGCCCTTGTTTTCAGCTTGCTTGCTCAATTGGTGGTCCACACAGAGTCCTCTGTTTCCTCCTAACTTAAGTTTTCTAAAAATTTTCGTTGAAAATGGCACTCTACCGCTCAGATTGTTGTTCTCCATGTTGATCTCATCAGCATCATTCAGAAACACAAACTCCTCTGGTACAGGTCCTTGTAGATTGTTGTTATCAAGACCGAGATAAGACAGATTTCTGAGATAAACACCCATGGAAGCAGGGATATTACCAGTTAAACCCATATCAGAAAATCCTATTCTTGTCACACCTCCAAGGTTTTCCCATATTTCTGGAATTTTCCCTCCTAGTAAATTCCCGCTTAAGTATATCTCCCTCAATTGGGAAATCTGTCCTATGAACTGAGGCACTCCAAAATTGCCCAACTGGTTGTAGCGGAGGTCCAAGAACTCAAGACCCTGCAAATTTCCGAAGCTTTCTGGGATTTCACCGCTAAACCTATTGAAGCTCAGGTCAAGCTTAAGAAGCTCCGTGAGATTACCCAGAGACTTAGGGACGTACCCTTCAAACCCATTTTGACTCAGGTCAAGAATCTTCAGTTTCTTCAACGTACCCAAACTTCCAGGAACCTCACCAGCAAGGTGATTTCTTGAAAGAGTGATCTCTTCCAAATTGATTAACTGGCTTATTTCTTGTGGAACTTCCCCGTAAAACCCATTTCCGGACAAAACCAGCCTCCTCAGACTCGTGCAATTTCGGAGAAAACCACTGAAAGGCTCAACCAGAGATGGGTTTTCGATGAACACAAGCTCCTCCAGGGTGGAAGCAAAACTAGGCGAAACGTCTGGTACGGTGACCAGAGACTCATTGAAGCATCGGTAGAAGAAGAGCTTGCGGAGGTATTTGAAAGATGTGAAGAGAAGAGGGTCGAGGGTAGCGTTGGCAGAACAAGGAGGGTTCGGAGCTTCGTCGGAAACATACCCGAAACTCAGCTCCACAATGCGTGCCGTTTCACTGGATTCAGAGGGGTAACCACAAACAACGCCATGAGGAGCGGACACACACAGATCATCATCGTTGAAGAGGGATCGCCAGGGAATATCAGAGTTGATAGAGTAAAGGACGTGGAAAAGAGCTTCACGCTCGGCCGAGAGGAGAGGAGGTTGCTGGTGAGAGAGAAGCGCCATGGACAAGAAGAAGGTAAGAAGAGCGAGAGGAAAGAAAGCGGAAGCCATGGGAACAAGCGAATGAGAGAGAAGCTGGGAGACAGAGGTGCAGGTTATGTATGGGATCGCATAGTGAGTTAAGTAAATACCTTGACTTGATTGGTTCAACATACAAAAACATGAAAATTGAAGCAGAGAGTAGGTGGGGAAGGAGAAGGACAGGGAAGAGAAAAGAAGCAGAGAATGTCAGGATAATATTGGTGAAGGAAGCGCACTCTACTGGCAGTGTCACTGCGACGCCATGCAGAGACGAATTTGGTTGGAAGGCGCAGAGGATGTGAAATTACCAAAATGGCCTTATTGAGCCGTAGATGGTGGCAAAGCAAGGCATGCAAGCAACGAAAAAGACGAAGGAGTAGGGGGGACAGCGGGAAATCACAAGAGGGCCTAGCAGTTGCCAAAAATAACTAACCAAACAGCTGGCCTTATCATAAAGTGATCTCTGTTACGTACGACGCTAACCGCAGCGCCGAAGGCCAAAACGACGCCGCGTAGGCGCGTAGGCGCGTAGCCCCCCAAAGACAGAGCCCTAGGGGCCGACGGATTCAGAGGAGCCTATTGCTGCCGCGGCCGCCCCCTTACGATCCTAACCTATCATTTGGCGCCACGTGTCATGTAGAACTCAACATTTATGAACGCCCGCTCGTACCATAACCCATTAATCGCAAAAAGATTGTTTGAATCCCCGTGCAATTCTCTCTCACTTATCATTGCACGACGAGAACTCAAGTACGTAATGAATATTTACTCATGTCTTGTGCACGTGTCATAATAATTTTTCAAAAAAAATTGTGAACTAAGTTTGATTTTAATTTTAAATGGTAAATTGGTGAATGATTTAAAACACAAATGCCTGCCGTAAAATTTCCCAAAATTTTAAATGGCAGCAATAATTTGTTTAAAATTTAAGTCGGATGCTTAATTTTCATATTAGAAAGGGGACATGATCTTTTTCCTTTTTTCTTTTTAACCCCAAGTTGTTTCATTGGAGAATTTCCATAGTTTGTTCACTGCGCACGAATGAGTGCGCCATATATCAAGGAGGCAAATACCAGCTTAAAGATAGAATGATTTATACATGTTTTTAGTCACACAGTTCATCTTCTGTACACACTTTATTCTAACACTGATACTAGGCAAAAATGATCATGGTGTCATAAACACGGGAACGGTTTAGGGAAAAGGATTAGAAGGGGAGACATTTTATAAACATCAGCTAGGTATCCTAGGCAAGGCCAAAAGAAAGTCGAAATTGTATTATTCAGGGGAAAAACACAGTCTCTAATGACACCGGTAACTTAGGAGCCTGATAATAGAAGTAGACAATAGAGAAGGAGAATGTTGGCTATTGACACAAAAAAAGAATAGCATATGTTAAGCCCCAGAAAAGATTCAGTAACCAGTACTGCTGCCAACAGACAGGTCCAGAAAATTAGAATCATCACGGTTTTTTGGCCTGCATATCATGAACAAACAGCCGTGACAAAGAGTTCAAACATAATAAAGCGATTTTTAAAAGTGAGGTGTAAATAGAGAAGGGAGTAGGAGAGTAGATGATTTTCACAAGAATCTTGATGAAGGTCCTTTTGAGAGATTTGTTATCTCTTTGCATAACTGAACTCTATCTAACACATCAAGTTTCTCAGGAGTCACCAAAGACAGAAAGTAAACAAGGACAGAGTTCGATGAAGATCCTAATCAGCGTAAACTGTCCCTAGTTTTTCTAAATACACTAGAGAACATGCATCTAAAGTAATAGTGTTACGCAGCAGAGAGGGCGCACAGAGAGAGAGAGAGAGAAGCACGTGTATATTATTCTTTAATCCGACGTAGAGATTACAACTAAGAGATATTTATAGGCTAATAATCCCTTACTAATACTCAATCAATTATACAAGTTGTTGTTTAAATGAGATGTGCTAAAACTAATCCAAATGACTCGTAACAAGTAGAATATAGGCAATGAAACTCACCTTGCTAAGATACTTCTTCTGAATTTTTAGTGCCTCGTCACAAGCTTTTTTAGCATCAAGATGTGAAGTTATATCACCTAAGATCTGAGGACAAAGTTTCACGTGAGTAAAATGACATAACTTCTGAACCAAATACACGGGAGTGAAAAGAGAGAAACCTTCACTACATCTTCTACACCCTTAGCCTCCTTCAAAATCCGTCTATTCTTGATCTCAAGGACACTTGCAACAAGAAAAACAGATAGTGCACTAAACTGCTGTTCTGTATTGCCAGTCTGCAGATTTTTTCTCTGAAACTTGCCATATTTCTTCCACAGCTTGTCATTTATTGCAGGGGTAGTATCATCTGTTCTAGTAACCTCAGACTCCTCGTATAATGAGAATAGTTTTGGGTCGTATTCCATGGCCCACATCAGCTGAAAACAAGCTATATCATGTCTTTAAACGATCTTAGTGACCCAAATGAAATTTGATTACGGTTATATTAAATATAGTAGGCTCATCCTTACCTCCCAAAGGTACAAAGTATCCACAAAAGAAAATTCTCTGCGGAAAAGAACCATTAGCATGCGAAAGGCAAAGAGATACTCTCCAGCATCTAAATCCTCTGCCAAACAAAAAGGAGATATAATTTATGTCCAGAGCGATGCATGGTTTCTCTTTAACAAAAATATTGCCGATGTTCATCTCCTTGGAGCAATTGAAAAGATTACAGATAGAGAGAGATCTGAGTTAAACAAAAATATTGGTTACCCATGAAATGTTAGCGTACCAAGATGTTGATGAAGTTGGGGATCAACAGTCTTCATTATCTGTGAGAGTGTACTCAAGTGAGATTGCACTCCCATTGAACTAGCACTGGTCCTGAAGTTCTCTCTCTATTATGTGAGCAAAGGCAGGCGGGCCAACAGATCACAAAAATTAATTATAGCGATCAACGTTCCGCTAGATGACTCCAGATGAAAGCGAAAAGAAAACGGCTAGAATTTACCATCCTTCGCATTGCTCGCTCAAAGCACCAAAAAGAGTCTGCTTCATTATCAAGAAGAATCACCAGAGGCGAGCAAATTTCGTTCATCCTGCAGAAAAAATAACCTCCAATTTAATGACCGACCTTAACACTCCGATTTAAGTATGAAACGATGATAGCCGTAGTTATTCACCTTGCACATAACCAATATCGTTGTCAATCCAGGCATAAACTGCTAGAACATCCCAAAGCTCTGCCTGATTAGATTCATTTTCATAAAAGACTAGTGCTTGATCTGTTCGAACAACATCCAAGCCTATGACGCCAAATAATGAGTTACCACCAAGGGTGCTTACTAAAAGAAATTTGTTATTAAGAAGCCATGAGCAAATGTTTTGTTGTGGAAAAATTACGGCATTTTTTGGCAGTTCATTTCTTGGAATTTCAAGCACAAAACCCGATGGAAAAAGGTGTGGAACAAAAATAAAACTATAACAGAATGATGAAATTAAACAAGCAAGTAATGGTTTACACGAGCCTCTGTGCATACCAATCTGGTGTATAGTCTGCATCCACCGCAGAGTTTTCTTATCTGAAATCGGGACGCCAATCAGAGATTCATCTATTGGCAGTTCATCATCATCAATGAGAGGTGACGTAAGAAATTTTCCAGTGCCAATAACTGGAACCATCGTTCGACATTCAGATTTCCACACACTATACTGCTGCCTGAATTATGGATTTTAAAAGATGATAAAACAGTAAGCTAAAAAAAAGGTTGATTTAGGAATTAAACCCTGGCAAATTTAAAACACGAGTTAGCTTTTGGTAGAACAGGTGAGGCCTATTATATGCAACGCGGCAAGTCACCAAGTCTTGTTAAAATTCGCAGGACAGGTTATGAAACAAAAACCAGAAAGTTTAATAGCAATCATATGGCCCAAAAAAATACAAGAAGAAGAAAAACAGAGAAAAGGAAAAACAATTTCGGTTACACAGATTTCATTACAAATATGAAATCCCGGTCCAACTTTACAGATTATAGTAGACAAGGTGAAATATTAATCTAACAACATGAACCTCTTGGTGACCCATGAACTACAGACATTAATGGGGTTTTGTCGTGCTCTTTAAATCTTGTAATTGGAAAATAAACTAAAATATAAATGTACCTCCGTTGTTCCTTGATTTGATTCCGTTCTTCAAATGTACTGTTAGGATCATAGCAACCTAGCAAGAACTCCCATACTACCCCTTTGATTGAGGGATGAACGCCCTATATGATTTTTTTTCAAAGGACAGAAGGGGATTAGAGCCCGAGTCAGATAAAAACATATGTGAAGATGGAATTGACAGGCCAATTGAGATTATAACTTCATGGGGCAGGGGTATAAGACGAAGAATAAGAGGGCAACCTAATTCAGCCCAAACTCAGATCCTGCCTGCATATTCATTTTCCTGATTTGCTTTGGAGCATCATGTAGGTGCCTTGAGACATCGTCAATAATGGATCTATCAATTCCTGAAAAATTCATCCTTATCCCTCCCCTCTTCTATTTCGTATCATCAAAAAAGTCTTAATTTACAAGCTAAATTGTGCAGGTTGTGCAGTTTTTTTTTTTTTTTTTAATTTATCAATTTGTACAGGTTTTTATTTCAATTATGTTTTGTTTGAGATACATACAGCAATTCCCCACCGACCTTGAACTCAAGTTAAAGGTATATTCACACGCTAATTCATCATATACGACAGGTTCAGCAATTTAAACAGTTTACACGCAGATGAAGGTTACCCCTCGTTGGATTAGTCTGAGGACTTTTGCAATATCCAAGTGACCTTCCTGAGAGAATGATGCATGCCATCTTCTTGCGCTTAGAGTTTTACCGGACTGTGGAAAGAGACAGTGCAGGGCGTGTAAGAGTACCGATTGAGTTCATCAATTTCCAGGGGAGTGTGGTGTTTAAAAATGTGCTTTTCATATCAAATGATATGAAGCGTGACAAGGATGCGATGGAAAAGAAGACCGCACCCTTGGTTTAAAACGTGTGGTTGGAACATCGGCTTCACACTCTGATCGGATGGGATAGAAAACATTCAAATCAGTTGTTCCAGTTCGCTTAAGAAACCTTGACATTGCTAGGGACCCATAACGATTAATAGCTGCTCATTCAACAAAATCCAAAGCCAAATTCATCAGAAACTTATGTCTGTTTCTCTCAAGAAGTAAAACAAATTAAAGGAACATCATTTCTCTGGCATTGGCAATGGCGTCCGGCGAGGAACACAGCCCGTTTTATAAACACTGCCAATATCTAAAATACCCCAAAACTAAACACTGCCAATATCTAAAATACCCCAAAACTAACCATCCCATTTTCACAAAACAAATATATGATTTCTTCTCAAGTCTTCTTTTTTCCTGACAATACCGGTGATAAGAACCTCGTGCTCTTAACCATCATCTATATTTAACACTAGCTCTCAAATACCGACGAGTTGAACCAAAAGAGGAAATTCTGTTCTGGAAAGATTCAAGTACCTTTCTAAAATTCGAAGGATCATAGATATTGACATAAACAAGGAAAGGTAAACCAGAATGGCACTCTGAGAATGAGGATCTTCAAGAAATCGTCGCCGAAAGGGAAGAACATGAATTTCAAGGAAAGATCGAACGCAGAGGAAAATGGAGAACGAACAAGAAGCAAAAATCTGCGGGAGGCAGGGAGTAGGGACTTGGCATTCTCCCAACGGTAATTTGGCACGCGGTATGATTCTTTTCCATTTTTTACAATATTTTTTTTCCCTCGTGTCTCTGGATAATTTCTTTTCTATTTTCGTTATTATGATGGAAGAAAAAATAAGAAACAACGATTAATATTAATGGTTAAGCTTTTTTGAACTTCCGGTTAAAAAAGAAGAAGCTTTTTTTAAGTTTTAACTGCCTTTCTTCCTCTTGACGTTCCTGTCTTAATACATACGTCTTGGCGTGAGCCGCTGTTAAACTGAAAAAGGAAAGCACTGGGCGTGATCAGACAATTCAAGCTTCTGTTCTCTCTCTATTTCTTTCCTCGTCTCCATATATTTTTTTTTTTTTTTTTTGGGTTTTTCGTTTGATTCATAGTATGAATTATACAGTTAATCGCCAGACCAACAGAGGAAACAGCAAAGGAACATCAGGCACGTAATTGATGGAATTTGATAGAACTGGATTGAATACATGAATTTCGTAGTAACAACCAAGACTGGCACATTGCCTGGAAAAAGGTCCAGGGAGGCGGCAAAGACCAATTTGGCTCAGAAACAATACTAGGAAATGGTATGACCACCGTTGCATGGCGATTTAGTACCAACTCATGAACAGGATAAAATAAACTTCACAACGTGAGATTGTTATCGGATAAAACTTGACCAAGCATTACGCTGCTCAAGAATTTTAAAAATGTCCCATGAGGTCTTGAAAAAAAAGATACCCCCATTTACTTTCTAATAGAAAGGAGCTCAAAGCTCCTGAGAGCTTCGTCACGATTGGCTCTTGAAGATGAATTGCGTGTAAAACTTGGTTGTTTCGTCTCATGCAATGCTTGAGTTCTATATGTGCTAGATGGGCGGTTGGCACCGGATGTCAGCCAGCCGGCACGGCCGTCAGTATGGTCACCAGATGAAGTCTGCCGGTTCGATGAGATCGTGGCTTTTCTTGAAGTGCTTCCATATCGAGAGGAACTGCGTCCCTTCTCTTGATCATACTGCTCAGTAAGAATGTATGACGTATAAATGTAAGTTAAAAATAACATTGATCCTTTGACAAAATGTGTAGCTTTAGCAACCGCTAATTAAAAGAGAGATGTTAAGGCTTTATTAACAATCAAATCATACGGTAAGATGAGCATTCAAACAGGCAACCGCGGATCTCGTTGAGAAAAGATGTCAACAACTACACTGCAAAGTTTTTACCCTCAAGTGACGTAATCACACAGATCTGAATTTCAGTATCATTGACACCCACCAGATATTTATGGGAGAAACATTTGAAGTGATTTTCTAGAGAAAGAATATTTACCACATCCCTGCGTGATGGTACCTCCTCGAGAATCCTATTTTTGGTGCCATCAACATGAGGACTAGGACTTGTGGGATTCCTTCGGGAAAATGCTTCCGCACCACCAGAAAACTTCTCTCGAATCTCTTTCCCAGCTGAAATAAGCAATTGGAAGACCAAGATTATGTAAGGAATTCAGAAGAAGTGAGGTACTTTTACTAATAATGTAGGCCATAAGACTACAGCTACAATTGAAGTTTAAGCCACAGTTTTTGTTGAGATTTGAAGGAAATACATGGCAAGAAATAATTTCAAAGATCCTGAACACTCGTTGTCAGACTTGTTAAGATTTAGTGGTATACCAAGTTCATAAAATTATATGACTGAAAGGGAGTAGACCTGGGATCTTTTCCGGTTTTTGTACAGATGGCCCTGCATTCATAAGTGCCTTGCCATTGCCAAGCTGATACATTGGAAAGACTTCAGTAAGTAGACTTCAATAGAAGCAAAAATCTACAAAAGCAAGGTATAAAAGCACGAACCCGCCCTCTAGAGCTGCCACCAATCTGAGGATACTTCAATATAGTCCAGTCAAAAACATAGTCAAACTGATAGCCTGCAGTAGCAAAGTCAAGGCCATTTAGCATTAAGACCATTAAAAGTTTCCAACAAAAAATCCTTGCTAATATTCAGATTAGATATAAGCACACAGAACCTTCTCGAATAAACAAGTCCCGGAAAAGCCTCTTTAAATATGAATAATCTGGCTTGTCCTCAAACCGTAATGATCGGCAGTAGTGGAAGTAGGATACAAACTCAGATGGGTATGATTTGCAGAGAACCTATCCACACAAGCACATACAGTAACAATAAAGCAACATGACCATATAAAAATCTAGATTGAAAAAGTTTGAGACAAGAAATATCCAATAGAATTAGCTTAAATAAAACTGGTCCTGACACATATGATCCATCTAGTTGTGATTGTATGAAAATTCGCAACTATTGCATAGCAGATTCTAAAGCCTGGCCTGACTGATCAGCCTCAGGTGTCATACATAATATCCCACTAAAGATCACAGCATCCAAAACTTAACTTCATATAACAATGACTAGATCTACAAGGAATATTGATTTCTCAAAAGCATCGCGACGAGTAAATTAGTAGCATACTAATCCTACTAGTCATAATACCTCTATCGGGGTTGATGATTTCTTCTCACTGATCTTATCATACTTTTGTTTTTTGTTGCCGGCCTTCAGACCTTGCCAGGGAAGACTAAAATAACAAAGAAAACCAACAGTAAGAATACCATTAGAATAATATACAGCAACCATGGGGCAAAAAAGACGGGTTTGATGAGTATCCAACCTTCCTCTTAAGAAGTACATGAGCACATAGCCAAGAGATTCCAAATCATCTCTTCTGCTTTGTTCTGCCAGAAAGATAAAATAAATCAGGTAGCTGAAACCAGGTAAGTCTAATTTTGTAACGATTCACATCTAGTTATAGGATGTCAGCATGAAAAGGAAAAAAAATGAAGCACAGGATATTTACCCACCAATTCCAAGATGAGTGTTGACACTTGCGTAGCGAGCTGTGCCAGTAAGGTTCTTGTTTTCTCTACAAATGGAAGACACCTTAATTTACATAACGCAATTTTGTAGGGAATAAGGAAAATGCTAGCAAGAAATAGAAAACTGCAAAATGCACACAGAATTTTAGAACATGGTCTTTGTCCATAACTCAAGTTTAGAATTAATCTCTCCACCTGACTACATAATAAGAACCATATCTTCAGCAAAACGCATATACTTGGAGATTTCCATGATTAAAATGGCAATCTATGCCTTTTTTTTCTTTTTGGAAAAAAATAAAACCAATAAGATGGCAATACAACATTAGGTGTGCTAATTTATTGTTGCTTCCTGGACGAGAACAACATTCCTACGGAGTTTATTCTAATGAAATATATGCATGCACACAAAACTGTGCACCTGCATGACCTGAAAACAGCATGACAAAATTTACCTGTATGGTATGTGCTTATGAGTCTGAAGATCCCTGAACTTCTTTCCAAGACCATAATCAATGATGTAAACCTGCCATGACAAGTGCGTTATCGAAATAATTAAGAAGATCTAAAATTTCTACATTCACCTAAGATTTTCTTATCAGAATCTACTCATCATGTTTTTACTTTAATTATTTAATTGACAAAAAGAATGCAATTATTATTATTATTTTTTAAAAAAAATTGAAGAGAAGAAAGCAAGGCACTGGAGAGCAAGAAATCCTCTGGTTAAATTATCCACAACACAAAAATTAAAGCCAGCAAAACACAAAAACCATCCCAATCCGTTTACATATCTGATAGAGTAACTCCCCTGTAGAAATAATTCTTCATCCACAATAAGCCGAAAAGTGAGTCTCAGCATGGGTTATTGACGTTGACTTTAGTATTGCATTGTATGCCAACTGCCAAGACCAATGGACTTGGACAAACGGATTTTTGGGAGTTAGTGAACCAAAACACAATGTTTCATTAATTTCTTGAGTTGCAAACAAATGGTTATGGACTCTACACACATTTTTAGTGAACCTGCCTGTTACTGAATCTAAATCCATATTCACAATAGGCCGCCCAAAGGATTCTTTTAGAAAGACACCAACTCATTATTGTTGCTCTAAGACAGAAGATATTATCTTTCCAAACCGAATGAACATCTGCGAGGATTTCTATGATATGAATTTTACAAACACCAAAATTTAGACTTCATAATACAGGACAAATTTGCTCATTGACAATATTCTCTTCATTGTTTCGATTCATAGACAATGTTACATATAGGATGCCCTACGATCTCCCAAAGTCAAGTCACCAGACTCAGCGAAAACACCCCAAAAAAAGAGTAAAATGACGGTGCAATGTACTACATACTAAACTCTGGATAGAAATGCATGACAATCAGCAAATTGCATCTGCAATCTCCTTAAGGTGATAAACCAAAGAAAACCCCTAAAAGAAGAACAGCAGAGCCAGGTAAACTGGACTTGCCATCAGGGAGCATGACTTCTTTACCTGGTTTGCTTTGCGCCCTAGACCCATTAAAAAATTATCAGGCTTTATGTCACGGTGAAGAAATCCTCTTGAATGCATATATTCAACTCTGTTAATCTGAAAATAACAAAAATAAAAATATGAATATTTAGCACCTCTGTCTAAGACGCCTTATTCAAAATAGTTTCCAAGAAGACTTACTAATTGATCAGCAAGCATTAACACTGTCTTTAAGCTG